ATCATTGCTCTGTTGTCTACAAAGTGTCTATAATGCTTGATTGGAATTTCAATGCACATCACACAACTTAGATTGATGAGGCAAGCTTTGCAGGACAATGATCTGTCAGAATTTGATGAATCTAGAGATGTGATTGAGAGTCTTGTTGACGAGTACAAGGCTTGTGAATCCCCTGATTACATCAAATGGGGAATCGAGGTATGCACACAGCATGTCTCATGTTTTTCCGCAACTTATAATTCGATGCTAGAAATGACCTTAGTACATTTCTCCAGGATCCGGATCATATTCTGACTGGTGAAGGGAATGCCAGTGGAGCAGTTGATCCAAGGTTAGCTGTGTGAACAGGATGACCTTCGAGTTGACAAAGAACACAGTTAATCGTGTGTCATGTAATTATCCCCTGTTTGGTTTGCAGTTCTGTACCTGTCTGTTCTTTCCTTGGGATATTACCTTCATATTGTAACCTTACAGCTTTGTATGAAGAATCCCTTGAAGTTTTAGGCTTGTAAAAATTGTGTTGATGGTATTCTAATGGGTGATTTGATTATTAGTTCTTACCAAAGCAGGCTAAATTAGCTGACAATGATTTTATTCTTAGCTTTATTTTTTATTTATTTATTTATTTATTTATTTATTATTTTGAAAGCAAACGTCGAAATATATTAATTAGCATCAAGTCCAAAGCAGGAATAACAAAAACAAACGGGACTCCAAAACAGTCCACACAGTCAGACTTGGACAAGGCTTTTCGAGCTAACAGATGGGTAACCTTGTTCGCAGACCGTTTAGCAAATAAAAAGCATAAGTCGGTAAAAGCTTTAGTTAATTCTCTAACATCATTTAAAATAGGATCAAACGAAGTTTGCAGCTTCTGAGTATGAATCGATGAGATAATCTTGCTGCAGTCTGTCTCAATTTGCACAGAATCCATGTTGATCTCCTTGAGCCATTTAAGAGCTTCCCTCACCCTTGTTGCTTCAGCCCCATCTGGTTTATGCACACCATCCCAAGGAATTTGTCTAGCGACTAGGAATTGGCCTTCATCATTTCGCAACACAAAGCCGAACCCCATCTTTTTGCTGTTGACATCTAGAGTTGTGTCAACATTGAGCTTTTTCCAACCATCTGGTGGCTTCATCCATATTTCCTCCCTTCCTGGACTACCGTTTTGTTGCAAAATCCCAGCATTGATGGCTTGCCAATTATGGAGGTAAACAGTATTAGGACTATATTATTCATATTAGACTAGGATTATATTATTCGTGTTAGACTAGAATTCTATCTAGCATCTCTATATATTCGCTCCCTGTACTCTCAGACATTATTATTAAATACAACACAATTATATTCTCATCTGGTATCAGTTAATCAGGGTTCGCGATAATTATTATTGCTATGAATGTTGTATCTCTATCGGCTGTATTCATAGCGATAATTCCCCACGGATTTTGATTTGTAATGGAAGAGAATGTTCCTCCAACTGTATTGTCGCCGTAGGGAATTTTGGAACTCTTCCCTCAATTGTGTACGTGGCAGGAGCTTCACTAATAGAGTTCCCTTTTCAATCTTTCTTGATTTTGGTTTCATCCCAAGCGTCACCCACCTGATCCAAAATTGTTAGCATCGTGATCATCAAGTGGCGAACGAGATGGTTCGTGGAAGTCAGCAACGTGGTAGTTGTGGCTTTAATGTTCAATGTCAAATTTGTAAAAGTTTCGGTCATATGGGAGACAATTGTTTTTGGCGTTATGATGATCCGTATCAAATTTATAAACATTTTGATCACACAAGAGCTAATTGTTTTTGGCGCTATGATGATTCTTGTCAAATTTGTAAATGTTTTGGTCACACGGGAGCCAACTGTTTTTGGCGTTATTCAGGGGCTCCGGGTTTTCAGGCTAATGTGGCCATCTCTAGTGATAATGGTGATTCCAACGGTCCTCATAAGTGGTTCCCTAACACTGGTGCTACAAATCATGCTACACCTGATTCTTCTTTGATGACTTCTGCGACAAGTTATGATGGTCCGGAGACTCTGCGAGTCGGCAGTGGTACATGTTTGGTTATTGTTAAATGTTGTTTCCGCTTCGTTAGCAACTGATTCTAGGTCTTTTAAGTTACATGATGTTTTACATGTCCCTGGTCTCTCTTCTTCTCTATTATCTGTCCGACGTTTTGCAAAGGACAATAATGTTTTCTTTGAGTTTCACCCCCTTTGTTTCTATGTGAAGGACAGTTTGACCAGGAAGGTTCTTTTTAAGGGACATGCGTCTGGGGGTCTCTACACATGGCCTGCGTCCTCCTCAGCTCCTGCTGCGTTTGTTGCTGCGCGATCCTCTTACGTTTGACACATGCGGTTGGGCATCCTCATTCTCGAGTCTTACGTAAAATTTTAGCGTCTTCGTCTATTGGTACATTTAATTCAAGTGATCTTCCCAATGTCTGTTCCTCTTGTCAATTGGGAAAATCCTCTCATTTTCCTTTGACTCGTGTCGAAACTACTAGTATGCATCTTTTGGAATTAATTTGTTCAGATATTTGGGGCTCGGCGCCATTACTTTCTGCGTCTGGCTATAAATATTTTGTGTTGTTTGTGGATGATTACACTCGTTATATATGGTATTATCCCATGCGTGCTAAATCTGATTTGTATGCTATATTTGATAAGTTTAGGTCACTAGTTGAGCGTTCTTTTTCTTGCAAGATTATTTCCTTTCAATCTGATTTAGGGGGAGAATATAAAAAAGAGTAAATACTCAAAATGGTCCCTCGACTATAGCTAAATTCACAAATTGGTCCTCGACTTTTAATTTCAACCAATTAAGTCCTTAACTTTGCAATTTTAACACAACTTGGTCCTTTGTCTATTTGACCGTTTGTTGACTGCGCTTTTTTAGGATATATATGTAATTTCATGGTCCATCGTCGGTTTTTTAAGGTTCCGGTTGTATTTCTAGACCGCAATGTTACATTTGAATCCACTGCCGGCGTTGCACCCCATGCCGGAGAAATTATACCTTTTGATAAATAGATCGCCGAAGTCCCTGGAGTGGCTCTTCGAGAAAGCCATGACTCCAAGCGATGTAGGCAAGCTGAACCGGCTCGGGATCCCCGAGCAGCAAGCGGAGAAGCACTTCCCGCCTCCGAAACGGCAATGTCATCTCCAAGAGCGTTCTCTAAGCTGAACCGGCTCGTGATCCCCAAGCAGAAAGCGGAGAAGCACTTCCCCCCTCCGAAACAACGATGTCACCTCCAAGAGCGTTCTCTTGAGCTTTGCACGTGAAACTACATATATATCCTCAAAGATCGTGGTCAACAAACGGTCAAATAGATGGAGGACCAAATCGTGTCAAAATTGCAAAGTTAAGGACTTAATTGGTTGAAATTGAAAGTTGAGGACCAATTTGTGAATTTAGCTATAGTCGAGGGACCATTTTGGGTATTTACTCTATAAAAAACTTGGTTCCACTCTTGCTTCGCTGGGTATTTGCCACAGGCAATCCTGTGCGTATACTCACGAGCAAAATGGTCGAGTGGAACGCAGACATTGTCATGTTGTTGAGACAGAGCTGTCTATAATGGCTCAAGCATCTGTCCCGTCTCGTTTTTGGGACTATGCTTTTGAAACTGCAGTGTATCTAATCAATAAAATGTCTACTCGTGTTCTGTCTGATGAGTCCCTTCACTTCCGTTTACATCGATCTCCCCCGTCCTACTCGCGAGTGTTTGGCTGTTTGTGTTTTCCTGTCCTACGTCCTTATAATCGCAATAAACTCCAGTTTCGTTCATCTCCCTGTGCCTTTCTAGGCTATCCTCCGTCTTATCGTGGCTATCGTTGTTTGGACACTAACAAGGCTTTTATCTATCGCCACGTGCGATTCGATGAGACTGTGTTTCCCTTTGTTTCTCCTATTGCCTCGCAGGTTGCTGTACTGCGTTCCGAACCGTGGGCAACTGCACCAATTGTGACGGGCCAAGGAAGTAATGTCTCGGCCACGGTTACTGATGGCGCTCGGCAGATTCACGAGCCCGTGGCTGCTTCTGCCAGTGATGCCGGTCACGGTCACGAGCAGTCCGCATCGAGTGAGCGGACTGTCTCGGACTAGCAGGTTGAGCAGCGCGGCAAGCCGCGCGGACGTCCTCGACGTGCTACTCCGCCTCCTCGGTGGCTCGGTCGCATAGCATGAACACTCGCAGCTCCGGCCCGCATCAACATGTTGCCTTAACCACTATTTCCACTATATTGCCTGAGCCTACCTGTTAATCTCAGGCGGTCAAGTTTCCTGAGTGGCGTGATGCAATGGACGCGGAGTTCAATGCCTTGGTCCATAATCATACATGGCGTCTCGTTCCATCTCAACCATGTATGAATGTTGTTGGTTGCAAGTGGGTTTTCAGAACCAAACGGAAGGTCGATGGTTCAATAGAACGTCATAGAGCAAGGTTAGTAGCCAAGGGTTTTAATCAGGTTGCTGGAGATGACTCTTTTGAGACCTTTAGTCCTGTGGTTAAGCCCACTACGGTTCGTCTTCTCTTATCTTTAGCCGTATCTCGTGGGTGGTCTATTCGCCAGTTGGATATTCACAACGCCTTTTTAAATGGCGAGCTAGCTGAAACTGTTTACATGCGACATCCACCTGGTTATGAGGATAAGTTGTTACCGAATCATGTATCTTTGCTTAAAAATCTCTATACGGTCTCAAACAGGCTCCACGTTCATGGTTCACAAGGCTACATGATTTTCTTGTCTCTGTGGGCTTCTCGCCTTCTAAGACGGATGTGTCTCTTTTTATCTATTCTCGCTACAGTATTCGTCTTTATCTCTTGGTGTATGTTGATGACATTTTAATTATGGGTTCTGACTCAGATCGTGTTACTGCTCTTATTGATAAATTAGCACTTGAATTTAAGGTTCGTGATATGGGTGTGCCTTCTTTCTTCTTGGGAATAAAACTGTCCCGTTATCTGGCGGTATGCTTTTATCCCAACAACGGTACATGAAGGATATTCTCAAACGTGCTGGCATGGTGGACTGCAAGCCAGTAATCACGCATGTCTCTTCTGCGAAAATCACAGACGAAGTGGTCGTCCCCTATGCCAATCCAACACAATACAGGAGTCTTACTGGTGCTCTCCAGTATCTTACGGTAACTCGTCCGGATCTATCTTATGCTGTTAATCTCTTGTGTCAACATATGCATGCTCCCACTACTATAGATTGGGCCTCTCTAAAGAGAGTCCTGCGGTATGTCAGAGGCACCCTGAATCTTGGCCTGCATATTTCTCGATCTACATCTATGGATATTCACTCCCATTCTGAATCAGATTGGGCTGGCGATCCGAATGATCGCAAATATACTAATGGCTTTGCTGTGTTCTTGGGCAGTAATCTTATATCTTGGGTTTGTCGGAAGCAATGGACTGTGGCACATTCTTCGACTGAAGCAGAATACAAGGGACTCGCTGATGTATCTATAGAAGTTACATGGCTCGTTTCTCTGTTACACGAAATCGGCATCCCTCCTGCGTCTCCTCCTCGACTATGGTGTCATAATTTGGGAGCTACTTATTTATGTGCCAATCCAGTGTTTCATGCCCGCACGAAACACATTGAGATTGACTATCATTTTGTTCGCGATAAAGTAGCCAAAAAGGAGTTAGAAGTGCACTTTATTTCAACCAAGGATCAACTAGCGGATATTTTCACAAAGTGTAACACCCCCGAATTTTACCAACATTTTAAAGCTTAATATAAAGGAAACAGTCTAACATTAGTCATTAAACAAAGCGGAAGCAACATAATTCGGGTAGTGTTATGCCACACCTATACCAAAAGATAGGTGCACAGGCTACAACTAAAACCATTGTCAAAGTTCTACGGCTCATAGGCCAACAACAAACTAAGGCAAAACGAGAGCTACACTAGCTACGGTCCACATTTAGCGCGCTCTTCGATCTAATCAAAACAGGTAAAGACATAACACCCGGTCAGCGAATAATGCTGGTAACCCACCAATACGCGTTAAGTATCAATATATATACATAGATATAATCAAAACCGTTTGAAACTGAGGAGTATAGTATATAGCATTTGAAAACCAAGAGATGAGACAACAATAGACATATCACGCTCTCAATAAAGATCAAGACCAAAAACTTCAACAAAGCAATAGAGACCACAATCAACAAGTAACAACGTACCACAACTCTAGATGCAACCTATCATTCACAAGGTAGAGTTCATCATAGACATGCTCATAAGCAGGAAATACAACAATCATATCATGACAAGTTCACATTCAAGTTTCACGTTTCGAGTCCAACCTTATACCTTAGTACCTCCCTTATGGCTACCCTCGACCTTATCACAGTTCCAACCTGTACCTCCGAGTGCCACCCTGTACACCGAGTCCAACCTTCTCCCTCCTGGGACCGTCGTCCCCCACCAATCGCACCACCAATCATTATACCACCGATCTCTCAGTACACGGGGATACCATTAAATTCATATTAACATACCACCGATCTCGTGAGCAAAGCTCAAATAACAACACCACCAATCTCATTCATATTCACACATAGTCATCATTAAGAAGATTAAGGCTCATCAATAGCCCAATCAAGTATCAACAAAGGGTACAACGATTTGTACAAGATCACAACATAAGAATCAACCAAGAGATTTCAATAAAGACATGAAGCAATACCCAACAACAATGAGCTACAATCCAATACCAATATGATTGGCAATACGAGTTGCCAATCCTCAACAAGAAGGAACAAACCATACATACTAGCATAACGACATCAAAACTAGAATGCACATCAAACGGGTAAACCAAAATGGTTCCAATGAACCTTCAAGACTCATATTAGCCCAACGAATCACAAGATTGGACCATTAGCACGATTCAAGACACCAAATCCTAACATGGAATCCTAAAACATCGTTCTAGACATACGAAACATCAAGAAGACTCACAAAAGCTCAATAATCCAACAACGGGAGGTCAAAACATCAAATACCAAAAAGAAAGAACCACGGGGAAACAACCCCCAGCATCATCACACACGTTCCCCGCGGGTGGGGCCACGGGTAGACCACCACCCATGGTCTTGCCCGTGGGGTACCATCCCACGAGGCTGCGTTCCCCGCGGGTGGGGCGGCGGGTAGGCCACTGCCCGCCGTTCCGCCCGCGGGGTACATCCCTGTACAACATTTTCCCTTCGGGGAAATTCAACTTCAAGGTCAAGTTCAAGTCCAAAACACCCAAAACCTCACACACAACAAAGATATGACTTGAACCCAAGAATAGCTCAAAGAATAGCATTCAAGAACCCTAAATACAATCTCTAAACATGCATTATCACAAGATCATGCATCCAATCTCACAAATATACCAAGAATCATCAAGTAGAAGTCAATAATCATTCATAGCAATAGAAAATAGGTTTTGTATAGGATGAGTTACCTTTGAAGACCAAAACCTCTTACTTCTTACACTCCTAGGCCTCTCCTTGAAGCTCTTTCTCACTAAAGACTTCTTACACAACCAAACTACAAAGAAAACACCAAAATAAGATAAAGATACCTTAAAGCTAACTAAAAACACTAAACAACTTTAGATCTTACCCTTTCCTATACTAGGGAGGTAGAAAGGTGGACTCTTTGGATGAAACTTTGCAAGGATAGATGGTTCTTCTTTTAGCTTGAAGAGCAAGCCTAGATTTCTTTAGAGAGAAGGTGGAGTGTTTATGATTTGGCTAGTAAGGGAAATGAGTGAAGTGTCTTACTAGGGAAAACTTGAGCATCAAAACATGTGTGAAAGGTAATCTTTACCCTTACTAAAGCTAGGAAGACAAAAGGTTGAGGTACAAAGCATAAGGCAAAAGGTACACATGGTTGACTAAGGAAACTAGTCAAATTCTAGCCCCTCGACTATTAAATTTCAGGATTTTAGAATGAAATTATCAAAGGAAAATTAGGATTAATTTCTCAATTAATCTTAATTAAGGGTTAGATTTACGGGGTTTCACATCATCTCCCATGATCTGTTTACCTTAGGTACAGTGAGGTACCCTTTTTTGAGCTGTGTAGACTTAGTGCTGATGTGACACCCCGTGAATCTAATCCTTAATTGAACAACACATTCTTTTCCAGGAAAAAGTATGCATTTTCATCAAAAGTGATATCTCGACTCAAAATGATTTTCTGAAAATCAGGAGACCATAGATGATACCCTTTTGAATCAGAAGCATAACCAAGGAAAATGCATTTGACAGCTCTAGGGTTTATTTACCTGTACTGGAATAAGAATATGCACGACATCCAAAAACTCTTAAGATAGAGTAGTTAATAGGATTAGCTGACCAAATCTCCTCTGGAATTTTGAAATCAAGGGAGGAATGTGGATATCTATTCACCAAATAGCATGCAGTAGAAACGGCCTCGACCCAAAAATCACGTCGTTTCCATAACCCAGCATTAGAGATCATACAACGAGCTCTCTCCAACAGAGTCCTGTTTATACGTTCGGCAACACCATTCTGCTTGGGTTTACCAGGCAAGGTCTTGTGCCTGGCAATTCCATTTGCTGCACAGAACTCATTGAAATCTAACTCACAGAACTCCAAGCCATTGTTTGTCCTAAGCTTCTTGGCCTTTTTCCCTGTCTGAGTCTCAACAAGTATTTTCCACTTTTTGAAAATAGAAAATGCTTGATTTTTGTGTTTCAAGAAATAGACCCAGACTTTACGAGAAAAGTCATCAATAATAGACATAAAATATCTACAACCTCCCATAGATTGGACTTTAGTCAGTCCCCATAAATCAAAATGTATATATTCCAAAACATCTTTGGTACGGTGTGTAGCAGTAGAGAAACTAACCCTCTTTTGTTTTCCAAAAACACAATGCTCACAAAGCTGTAATTTACCCGTACCTGAATCACCCAGGAGGCCTTTCTTGCTCATGATATGCATGTCTTTCTCACTCATATGCCCTAGACGCATATGTCATAGTTGGGTGAGATCAACATCAGACATCGATGAGGATACTGCTACTGACCCTGTCACTGTACTGCCATGCAACACGTACAAGCTTCTAGAACGAGAAGCTTTCATGAAAACAAGAGAACCTTTTATGACCTAAAGAACTCCACCTTCAGCTATGTACTTGCACCCCAGAGATGGTGCCCAAGGATATCAGGTTTCGTTCAAATCAGGAAAGTACTGAACATTGGTAAGAGTCATGAAAACGTTATCATGAGTTTTAATTTGCACACTTCCATTTCCACTAACCTTGCATTGGGTATCATTACCGATCAAAACAACTCCATCACTAACCGGTTCGATATAGATGAACTAGTCTTTGTGAGGACACATGTGAAATGTACAACCAGAGTCCAGAATCCACTTAGTTTCGCTCCATTTGTCACCGGAGCTAACAGATAACAAAACATCACCATCTGACTCGCTTTGAACAACACTAGCTTCAACTGACTTCTTTTTTCTCTCTTCCTTATTCTTCAGTTTGAAGCATTCAGTCACATCGTGACCATGCTTCTTGTAGTACTTACAGGATTTGTTAGACTTACGTCATCTGCACTTGGATCTAGCTTTTTTACTACTACTCTCTGTTTCAGGTGAACGACCCCTAACAGTCAAACCTTCACCTTTGTCCTCAGCGGATTCTTGTTCAAATATTTACAATTTTACCACCGTATTTTTTTTTTTTTTGGTAACAATCCCCTACCCTTCTTTTAAAAACAATAGCAAAAATTAAAGTAAGTATTCTATGTTCTCTTTTGTACTAGTGTTAACATGCCTTTATCAACTATTAACGAAATTAAAAATGTCATTATTAGTTCGAAACTTAAAAAAAAGAGTAATTTTTACTATTATTATTATTATTATTATTATTATTATTATTGTTGTTGTTGTTGTTGTTGTTGTTGTTGTTGTTTTCTTAATGCCAAATTTGCTCTAAATTGTGAATAAGCCTACTTAAGCTACTACACCCAATAGGCCAATGGCAATACCCAACAAACCATCTTTTGTCCATTCACGTTAATTCTAACTACAACTGTACTGACCATCTTTTGTCCTTTCATGTTAATTATTAAAAAGCGTTATTGAATCCAAAAAGTATTCAACTCGTCGTTATCTAGAGTTTTAAACACTATTACACATTTACACGTACTTAAAAAAAAAAAAAAACACTATTAAACGTTAATGTGATTAAACTCATTAAAGTGTGAACATTAAGCAATCTGTTGTTTTTTTTTTTCTTTTTTTAATAAGGAAAACTGACCGCTAATATTTAAGGATGTATAATGATAAATCTAGCTTGTTTCTGTGTAATAACCTATAAATTACATATGAGATGTAGACTATACAAGGAAGACATTGTATAATGGGTTCAACCGAGAGGGAGTTGACAAGTATCGCACTCGTGATCTTCATGTATAATTGTATGAAAGTCATACTCCATTTGTTTGACCACTTCTTTCGTGGCTACGGAATCTATATTTCAGTTATAAATAGTGGGTGATTTTAGGATCAAGCTATGGACCAAAAAATTTCACCAAAATCATTTGACAATGTATGATTCACAAGGTTGCAGTAGGCGCTAGGCGCTAGTTGGGCGGCCAAGCAGCGCCTAGCGCCTAGGCGGTCTAGGCGGAATCTAGGCGGCGCTAGGCGAGCACCAAAAAAATTAAAAAAAAATAGTGACAGACTTGTAGTTTGACAATTTCAATGAGTCTGTTTTCAACTTTCAATCAAATAACACGTCCAAATAAATGAAATAATGATAATTTATAAGTCATAACATCATAATAATATTAAAATCAATAATTGATGAAAGACGAAATCGGTAAAAATCAAACAAATTTAGTCAAAAAAGGACGAAATCGGTCAAAATCGGTCAAAATCGGCCGACTCAGCCGAGTTGGCCGACTCGGTCGAGTAGCGCCGAGTTGGCCGACTCGGCCGAGTAGCACCGAGTTGGCCGACTCGGCCGAGTAGGCGGCCGGCCGAGTTTTGATCGCCTTTAGGCCAAAACGCCAAGGCCTTGTGCCGCCTAGCGCCTAGGCGGCTAAGCGGCCGAGTTTTACAACCTTGATGATTCGTATTCTTTTTGGTCAGACCACGAGGTGTCATGAGCAACCCTAACTGTAAGAGACACTCCCGTTAGCGCTGGATCGGCCCAATGAAGGGACAAAGTACTGTCAGATTAATTTTTTTCATCATACAAAAGAGGATTCAAACTCCTGACCTCTTTTAATGGACAAGAATACACGGCAACTCACGCCAACCAAACTTCTCAGGCTCCGATACATATATAGTCTTACTATTATTTGGTGATTTAATAAGAAAGTGGATGGATAATTATATTGTGAAATACTATATTGCGATTAATCATTAGAAGACTTAGCATATTAAATTCTTTGTTTCTTTGTTGTCCGCGGATTACGGTTTCCTAGTATTCTATGATCCAATTGCCGGAGCTTGCTTGTATTATTGTAGGATTTCAAGTTTTCAACACAAGTAAATAAATCAATCAATTAAAATATGGAAGAGATTCCATTGAAGATTTCAAGGATGTTTTTTTAGTGTGAAAGTGATGTTATCCAAAATTCCGAATTCCATCTTTTAAAATATAAAATAATAAAATAAAATTACTATAATGTAATTAATTGGTTTGAGAATTGGATTGTCCATATTTTAAAAAGAGAGTGGAGAGGTCAATTTTGGAAATGCAATTGGATGAGAATATTATTATTAACTAATGCATGAGGGGCGCGCGAGAGTATTAATTATTATTATTTATATTTTGTAAATTTAAATTTAAATTAATTTCACATTTGATCTCTTAATTATTGTGACATTTATATTTTTAGCCGTCCATCGATTATTTGTTCAACCCAATTTAATCCTTTGATTTTTTTTTTTTTTATCTTTCTTAAATCGATCAAATCTAAATTTTTAAAAAGATGATAGGACTAGTAGACTACACTAATAATGTAATCTAAAGAAAACAAGAATGTTGAGAGTTTCTTTCTATTAATTGCTATTGTAATACAGTGGTTGCATTTTGTAAGGAAAAGAACATGTTCTCCTATCCAAATAGTGTTTGAGGTATATATACACAAGTGATTCCAACGGTGTTTGGGCAAAGATCAACTGATTCGTACGCTCCCTAAGTGAATTAGGCGCTTTCCAACGGCCACTTTGATGGCAAATCTCCCGAGAACGCTGAGCTTTGGTTGACCTCACAGCCCCTAGGGTTGAGCAATCGTTATTGTGTGGATCATGATCCATACAAGTTGTATGGACCATATTTGTATACTGTAAAATAATGTATATTTAGTACAAAAATAATGTATATTCAATACAAAAATAATGTACATTATATTTAAGGGATGTACATTATTTTTGTACTGAGTGTAATATATTGTATAATTTACATACAGTACAAAAATAATGTACATTTAATATATTAAAAATGTACATTTTATTATGGTCCAAATAACACTGTGTGGACCATATTTACCAAAGTTGAGCTTGTTGGCCAAGTTGACCTGACCTCACATAGTGGCTAAGGTTTGACCCCAATCTTCCTAGACTTGTTGGTTCAATATCTCAATCAACTCACATTGTGGATGGTATAATTCACCAAACATTCACCATTCTTCATGTCACACTATGTGGTTGAGGACATATGGATGAGAGAAAGTGTTTCAATTCAGTTGAAAGAGATAGGGATTACAATAGTATATCAGATAGAAAAATGCTAGACTCTCCTAACTAATAGACCTGTACTAGTCAAACAATCTACTACCACATAAATATTAACTATACTATAACACAAATATAATATGAAATAATAACATCATTAACACGTACACCCCTCAAGCACAATGTTGATGTGCTACAACGTTGAGCTTGTCCCGAAGAGCTGCAAACCTCGGCCCAGGTAATGGTTTGGTGAAGATATCTGCTAGCTGGTCCTTGGTGGACACAAAGTTGACCACGGAGTCCCCAGAGGCCACCTTATCGCGGACGAAGTGATAGTCGATTTTGACATGTTTAGTCCTGGCGTGAAAAACCGGATTGGCACAGAGATAAGTCGCCCCAAGATTGTCGCACCAGAGGGTCGACGGCTGACCGGAGTGTAAACCAAGTTCTTGTAATAATGAGACGACCCACGTGACTTCTACTAAGACATCGGCCAATGCTTTATACTCAGCCTCGGTGGATGAGCGAGCCATAGTGCGTTGCTTCCTGGAGAGCCAAGAAATGAGATTTGAGCCCAAAAAGACAGCATACCCACTTGTGCTTTTTCTATCAATCGGACACCCAGCCCAGTCGGAGTCTGAAAAAGCGTGAATGTCGGCGGATGAAGAAGCTGAGACTCGTAAGCCATAGTCGAGAGTGCCTTTGATGTATCGCAAAACGCGTTTGACTAGGCCCCAGTGGTCAATAGTTGGGGAGTGCATAAATTGGCATAGACGATTGACCGCATAAGAGAGATCTGGTCGAGTGATAGTCAGATACTGCAAGGCGCCCACTATGCGGTGATACTGTGTGGGATCCTCACACGGTTGTGAAGAAGGAGTTACTACTTGTGTGACAGCCGTTGGCGTGGCTAGGGGCTTACAGTCTACCATCCCGAAACGGTTAAGCAGATCAGTCATGTAGCGCCACTGTGAGAGGATTAGGCCCCCATTTACTAAAATTGTTTCAATACCCAAAAAGAACCCAGGTGTGCCAAGGTCTCGGATCTTGAAAGCTGTGGCTAAGCGTTGAAGTAAAGAATTGACTAGAGCAACATCGTTCCCCATCATAATGATGTCATCGACATAATCAAGTACGAACACCCGTGAAGAGCCAGATGTGAAGTGAAACAGCGAGACATCTGTTTTGGATGAGGAGAAACCTGCAGACAGTAAAAAATCGTGAAGTCTCTTGAACCAAGCCCGATAGGCTTGCTTGAGACCATATAGAGAGCGTTGAAGATGGCATACATGACCGAGGTGCGCCAGGTTTTCATATCCCGGAGGTTGCTTCATGTACACCGTTTCGGCTAAGCGCCCATTTAGAAAGGCATTGTGGACATCTAAGTGGCGTAGAGTCCAGCTATTCGACACAGCAAGAGAGAATAACATTCGGACTTTGTCGGTTTGACAACAGGACTAAAGGTTTCGAAGAAATCTTGTCCTGCCACCTGGTTGAAGCCCTTAGCAATGAGGCGTGCCTTATAGCGTTCCACCGAACCATTAGCCGTGCGTTTGGTGCGAAACACCCATTTGCACCCAATGATGTTCATGTGCGGCACAGGTGGTACGAGACGCTAAGTGTTGTTATGAAGAAGCGCATTGAACTCCAGGTCCATGGCCTCATGCCACTGTGGATGCCCTACAACATGTGAGTAGTAAGTAGGATCAGTAGTGGCACTTAAAGCATGAAAGTGTTCATTCGTGCCTCGGGTCATGTGACGGAGGCGCATGACACGTCCCCGTTCCTGTGCTTGAACACGGGTTGACTAAGACCTAGTCGGTGCAGGTGTTGGGCCCTCGATAGCCGAGGGTGCGGAGTCTCGTGCTAGCGGTGTGGGATTGGATCCCGAGGGCGTTGGCACCGGTGCTAGCGATGTAGCCGCTTGAGTAATACGGGGGATTATTGGCCCAGATGCCAATGGCATGGACGGTGGTGATGAAGAATGTGTCGCCTGTCCTGTGGAAAAAGGAAAAACAGCCTCGTCAAACAAGACATGGCGACAGATAGAGATTTTTCCAATCATCAGATCCATACACCTATATCCCCTAAAGGACGGGGGGTAACCTAGGAAGACACAGGGAGCCGAGTGGTACTCTATCTTGTGCTGATTGTATGGCCGAAGATAGGGGTAACACCGGCACCCGAAGACTCGTAGAAACGTGTATGGTAGTGACACTTTATGTAGACGGGAATACGAACTTTCGAATTTTAAAACTAACGAGGGTAGATAATTGATTGGGCAAGTGGTTGTTTCAAAGGCATAGTCCCAATAGTGAAGGGGTACTAAGCCTTCGGCGAGAAGAGCTAAGCCGGTTTCGACGATATGTCTATTCCGGCGTTCAACTCTACCGTTTTGTTCATGTGTGTAGGCATAAGATTGCCTATGATTAATGCCAAGTGATTTGAATATGTTGTGTAATTTTCGGTATTCACCCCCTAAGTCTGACTGAATAGACTTGATAGAGTGCGAAAATTGGCGCTCTAACAATACACGAAACGACTCGAATATTTTATATATATCCGATTTTACCCGTAATGGATAAAACAAGCAGAAACGTGAGTAATCGTCTACAAAAAGCAAGAAATACTGAAAGCCATTAGTGGAAATTACAGGAGCAGGTCCCCATATATCGGTATACAATAAATCTATACCATTATTACTAGAAGTTTCGACCCTATCTAATTTAAAACGCGACGATTTGCCGAGGTGGCAAGCTGTGCACGACTCCACCGACTTGGTTTTATTTGACTCAACCGGGCAACTTTGGAGAACTCGATTTTGGACGTGACCATGCGGTGCGGGTGACCCAGTCTGCGATGCCACACCGCAGGAGTAGTTTGAGAACTGACGAATGCAAATTGAGACTGTGACACTGGAAGTCTGTACAAGCCACCCGAGGTGGGTCCTTTAAGCAGAACTACCCTGGTTGTGGAATCCTTCACAAGAAAACAATTTTTATGAAATTCAAAATAAACATTGTTTTCATTAGTGAATTTATGAACAGATAAAAGTGGTACAGACAGACTTGGTACGTGTAACACATTAGATAGACATAGGGATTTTGAAACGGAATGGATAGTTGCATGACCGACTCGTGAAATAACCAAACCTGCGCCGTTACCGACTCGAAGCACATCGGGGCCGTTGTACTCGTCGGAGTGAGTCAGTATCCCGGCATCAGGCGTGGCATGCGTTGTGGCTCCCGTGTCCGGGAACCAGCCGTCCGTCGTGCTTGCCATCGAGCTCGCTGCTAGACCTTCGCCGGAAACCGCGACATGGGCCTGCGCCGGGGCTGAGTCGTGTACCTCTTGTAACAATAAACTGCAGTGTGCCCATGGGAGCGGCATATTTGGCATCTCGGCGCAGCACGTTCGCCGCGACCGTCTTGTCCTTGGCCACCACGCCAGCTACGACCGCGACCAGCATACAAGGCAGTATGCGACCCCCCATTACCGCCGTCAGCCATCACTGGATATTCATCGGAGAGGATGAACTCTTGAGCCTGCAAGTAATCTGAGAGTTGCGGGAGAGAGACTGGATACCTGAAACAGTGAGCGAAGCCGCCATAACCCTGAATTCCGGACGTAGTCCCCGGAATACGTATAGATTCTATTCATCTAAAGAGAGTGGTCGACCGGCCTGTGGCAACGCCTCCACGATGAGCTCTGCCCATCCCAAGTAATCAGCCGGTGAGGCATTTCCTTGCCGGAGCGACTGGAATTGCCCGAGCAGATTGATGCAACGTGCGCGGGTGGAGGAACCAAGAGCCGCAGTGATGGAACGCCATACTTCCTGGGAGGTATTCCGGCCAACGGCCAAGTGCATGACCTCGTCTGACATCGAGGAGATGAGGAGCGACAGGATAGATTGATCCTGTTGCACCCATGCCTTGTACGCGGGATTAGGGACCGGAGTCGTGGCAGTGGCGCCAGATGCAGACTCACCGGAGGCGGGGGAGGCGTCGACGGTTGGCGGAGGGCACGATGTATCTCCGTCGACAAATCCAAGGAGATCCTGACCGCGTAAGAACGGGACTAATTGCGTAGGCCAGAACAGGAAGTTCCTGGACGTAAGCTTGATAGAGACGAAGTGATGAGCTGGGGCTAGGGGATTAGGGTGGGTGGCCGGAGACGAAGCACCGGCGGCGGTGACCGTTCGTTCTGACGAATTGGTCGACATCTAGGGTGGTGTTCGGTTGTTTACGGTGGAGAGAGAGAGAGAGAGAGAGAGAGAGAGAGAGAGAGAGAGAGAGAGAGAGAGAGAGAGAGAGAGAGAGAGAGAGAATGATCGATGACCTATAGCTAACTGATACCAGATGAGAGAAAGTGTTTCAATTCAGTTGAAAGAGATAGGGATTACAATAGTATATCACATAGAAGAACGCTAGACTCTCCTAACTAATAGACCTGTACTAGTCAAACAATCTACTACCACATAAATATTAACTATAATATAACACAAATATAATATGAAATAATAACATCATTAACAATATGAGACATTCTCTATCAAATTTAGTCAATTGAAAAAAAAAAATTGATGATTAATAGTCAAAGACTAATTGAAGCATAAAATATACTCTTGCCATCCTATTTTATGTAATTAGTTCGACGAGGCTTGACTAAAGTTATTTTTAATTTAATTTTTTATAATATTAAGTTTAGTATTAGTATATAAAATTTATATATTTAAAAATTATAGTAAAAATACTATTAAATACAAAAAAATCAAATTTAAAAATAAAATAAAGAATATTAAAGAAAATAAATAAAAAAAAATAGTTGATTTAATCAATAAATAATAAGTAGAACAGAGGCCGATGGAGTATTTTATATAAATTTTAGGTAGGGTCATATTTAAGTCATTTTTTAATTCTTCTTGAAATCATTTTATTATAGGATGACAATCAGTTCTGTCTAATCAAATGCCTATAAAAAGCACACAAATGCTTCTTTCCAGTGTACACCAAAACAAACCTTAAGTCAATCATCATTCGAAATGGCATCCAACAACAACTCTCAGAAATTTATTACAATTCTTAGCATTGATGGAGGTGGTATTAGAGGGATCATTCCTGCTACTATTCTTGCTTTCCTTGAAGCCCAACTTCAAGTAATAACTTATATTTATTACTCTATCATATTTTATTTGTCTTACTTACTATTCATTGGTCAAATAACTCTTTCTTTTTCACTTATTTTTACTAGCATTTTTTTTATAATTTTTAAATTAATTTTTGTGTGTTTAATAGTACTTTTAATATAGTTTCTAAATATATAAATTTTACATACTAATTCTAAACTTAAAATTATAAAAAAATTAAATTACAAATAACTCCAGTCAAGTCTCGTTAATCGAACCCGACACATAAAATTGGGTGGGGGAGTATCAATTATTTCACTTTAAGTTAGTCTATAATTGGTATGGAAATTTTACTGTATTTGTAGCACAATTTCTTATATTTATTATAATTATATATACCTCTAACTTACCGGCCGGTTGTACTATGAGAGATAATACAATTTTACTAAACACAATAAACTGTAGTATAGCAGGGCTGGTCCCGGTCATCTTTGGCCCGGGCGACCGCACAGATTAGATTAAAAAAATATTATAGATATAATATATTATTTTTTTTATATTTAATGATTATTTTTCTTTGAATTCATAGACTGGTCTTAATTGTATTTGAAAATAAAATTTTAGAATGAATTGACATCGAAATTTTGGAAAATAATTTTTATTTAAATATGAACAAAAAATGACACTCTTAAATTAACTTTTGAATTGTATTCTTTCTTTGTTAAATTTTTATGCATTATATTTGGTCAAAAAATTTTAATTACATTTTTATTTTTGTTATAAGATACAATAACTTGGAGTTCAAATTAGATTTGAACTCAATTATCTTAGTTATAGAGTTTTTATTTTTATTTTTTTATTATATATATATATATATATATATATATATATATATATATATATATATATATATATATATATATATATATATATATATATCTCCTAGACTTCTATTTTCATTTTCAGATGACTTTTTGAGATTACGTTTCTTATCTTTATAAATAAAAATCTCTATCATTATAGCGAAATTTAAATATTAAAAAATCTCTTCTCTCTCTATGTTCTTGTTTTTCTATTATTGTCTTTGTCTGTTTACTCTATTATATTTAGATTGCATTTCGTAACAAAAACAATGAAGGTCCAAATTAAACTATTACACAAGGCCTATATTTTTAATAGAGCGGCCCTGTGTAGTAGTAAAATGTTTTCTTACTAGACTTATCTATTAAATGTGAACTTCTTGTGTGAACATACAGGCAATAATTTAGCGTATAATAAATTTCAAGAAAAAGAATAGATGTTCAA